CAGGACTGTTTTTTCTTCCTCTTGTTAAGGCTACAATGTACAGGCGATACCTGGTTCGTACGCTCCAGTGTAATCCTCTCCCTCTGGTAAATGCCAAAAGGAATAAGCAGTGTTGACCTTGGGAGACGCGGGGGCTGGATTTGAGGGTGTCTTTTTAAAAGCTTGGGTGTGTAATTGAGTAGAGCGGCGGGGTGGCTCGCTTTGATGGTGTTCGCACAAGCACAAGAGAGTGCGTGAGGGAACACAGGGGATCAGGGAAACACACACATATGCAGAAGCACACAAACCACGAGTGTAGGCTAACATCAATGCATTCAATAAAGCGCATGCATGCAGGGAGTCATCAGCAGGACAAGCAGAGGCAACAGACAGGACGTTTGGTAGACTGAGGTTTCAGAGCACCCGTTGGCGTCACAAGGCTCTTCATCACCCAGACAGATCAAAATGAGCCCAGTTCTCCTCCCAAGAAGCCCTCCAGTCCTCAGAGCAGCCCAGTCCAAAACACTTGCTTTGATGGGGGTTCAACTCAACCAACAAACGTCCCACCCCAGGACATCATTAGCTCAGTTTTGGCATTAAAACCAGTCATCTATTGGACTAAACCCTCGATGTATGCCTATCCAGCTCCTGACAGCTCTTTTCTTGCATCCACCTGCACTCTACTGTGCTATGTCATGTTCACCTGCCCTTGCAACTGTCACAGGGTAACAGTTTATTTAATTATACTTCAAATCTAACATGCTAGTTTTATTTGTCTTTATTACAACTATAAGTAGATGTGAACAGATTCATTCTGTACTACTTTTTTATATCCAAATTGCATTCTAAAGAGTGTGATTTCCAAACTGCAAGATTGAAACTATAATTTACATAATTAACAGAGTCTCAACAAGCCGTAGGAGGTGAAAGTTTTACATGCCAAGCATGGATTTGGCCAGCTAGAATGACAACTGTTGCCTACAAATTTACCCAGATGATTAAGATTAATTCCAAATTGGCCAAACAACTACAAGAAATTGTTGGGTTCATACAGTCTGCAGAGGGAGAGAAGTGAGGCAGAGAGACTGCATGAGCTGAGAGGAGCAGGTGCATGCCGGTGTTCTAAAATCAACTTGGAAGTGAGTTATTGTAGTTTGGTGTCTGATTTGGCCCGCTTCTTCACACAGTCAGCAGTTGGAGCTGCAGCAGCGGCTGTGACACATAGATTATGGAGGCTATTAAGGTACTTTAAAACTATTAGCACCTGATTGCTGCAATTTGTGTCAAAATTCACAATTCTTGGAGTCATAACTCAGTCAGATCAGAACACAAGACCTTATAGTTTTTAGTGTGATTTATACTTCAGAGGATGTCATATCGATGATATCCTCTGATAATGATATCAGAGGATATCATTATCTTCAATGTCCAACGTGAATAAATGCTAATAAATTCACTTCAAAATCACAAAAAAGACATTCCCTATAATTCCAGAACTTGCCTGAGAATCATCCCTTCTTTATGTTTTCATCAGTATCAAAGTATCCAGTGATAGCTGTCTGTAAATCCATCAGTACATTGCAAATAAAAATAATAATAGCTAATTCAGCATGCTTTTGATGGTACTCATTTGAGGGCAGCCTCACAGTGTCAAACTTTGAAATTCCCTGATCAAGTTGATTGCATCATGCCAGTTTTGGACAGGTAGCTAGCACTTAGCTCAGTGGTTCTTGGGTGTAAATGATAGACAGCTGGCAACTAGAGGTGTGTGAAACTCATCTTTAACTTTAAAGCAACTGATATCATTATTCTAAGCTGACTGTCTTCAAAGAATCTGACTGGGACTGTGGGACTCAGAGATGTGACAGTGTCTGTTCTGTCAGGCTGTGAAGCTAACGTTGACGTCAGCTTGAGCAGCTAAAGTGCAGAGCTGAGTCTTGAGTCTTTGCATTCATGTCCAAGTCAAGTTTCAGGTCCTAAACTTTGAGTTTTTAGTCCTTAACAAGTCCTAAATAAGTAATCTACTCCCCATCAAATGTAATACCAATTTAACAGATAAATAATTTCTTGAATTTTCAAAAATCATGAATGCTTTTTAAAATTAGTAATTTGGAGGTTGCTGTTCAGCATGTTTTGCAAACTACAATTCCTTGACCACCATGTAGCCTTGTTTTGTAAAGGAACAAAATTATCTTTGGTATCATTTTTTTCTTCAAAGGACGATCAGTAACATAACATTAGTTCTTCATGGTTCAAACCTCAAACTTGATAGGATGCTGTTTGATGGGTTTAAACAAAGTGAATATTCTTCAGAATTAAGTGTTGACTTGCTGGAGATGAGTTGATTCAGGAAATGAAGAGAAACAATTTTTAGCAGAGGTACATTTTTGAATAACAAACTTTTTAAAGTTTTAAGTATTTTCAAGTCAAAAGGCTCAAGTCCATACAAAGTCACGAGTCAGCGGTGTTAACGTCCTATTCAAGTTGAGTCTAAAGTCATGAGATTTGCAACACGAGTCTGACTCGAGTCCACATCTCTGTCATGATTCTATTTAAATATTATCAAGTCATTTCAAGTATACTTTTATGTGAGCTAAACTGGTCAATTTCTCAATAAAAACAAGCCAAGTCCTCTTAGAAAATTACTTTTCTGGCTGCTTGAACCCTGGAGGGATGTCATCAACAGGCAACTGCATTATATTATCTGATTCTATTCATGCAGAACAAACTTCAAAACTATGTAGAGTGCAATTAAAAGCCTTAAGTTTAATTTCTGGAAAATAATTAGCAATTTTAATTTGCAATCGCGTTGTTGCTCAGAAAAATCACAATTAGATATTTTCCTCAAATCATTCAGCCTTTACAATAATTATTACTTTTCCCTAAAAGAAGTGACATATCTCTTGTACTTTCAATTTTAGTAATACTTTAATAGGAAAAGTAACTTATCTTTCCCATCAGCCCCTTGAAAAATCCAAACGGAGTGTAATTGCACAAAAGCAATATATTCCAGCTTCAACTCTTTTCACTGTAATTGGAATAAGGTCAGCAATTATCTTGGAAGAGACAGAGTTTGCTTAGATGAGAAATGGCAGAAAGGATGACATTAAGTAAAAGATGACAAGAACACTGGCCATCAAGGCCGTTTGGTTCCTCTATTCGTGACGACTAACTGGCTTGTCCTTTTGAAGGTAATAAAGGAGGCACCTACCAATTTTGGAGGTACAACAAAAACAGAATTGATTCATATCATCCTCTAAGAAACATCAATGAATTCCATCCAACAACAGAGGCGAGCAAACACAGAGACGCCAGAGCAGAGCTGCACAGGGCCCAGCTCACCAGCCTGCTTCTGAATGACTAAAAGAATGATCATCAGTAAAATGTCCAACTAGGACAATAATGTCTAATAATTCAACTTGATTACAAATCTTCATGGGGACCAGCAGCAATTATGTGAATTACTAATTTGGTTAAAATTTTGTTTACACTTTGCCACAAGATAATTAAATCTAATTTATAAACAATATAAATCACACAGCAACACAGGACATAGACCTCTTCCATCTGTTGTTTGCACAAAATAACTTAATAATCACAAACAGTAAAATCGAGTTAAATGCTATCAAAATGTTATTTAGGAAGCCAGTTAGGCAGGCCCAGTTCCAGAACAAAATGACTGGGTGCATCTGAAATCAGTGGCACTTGTAGCCACAGTACTAGCAACGGCAATACAAAATAGTGTTTGTTTTACAGGTCCCGAGCACGGTCCTGCATGAACAGATCATGCTGAAACACAGCTGGAAAAAGTTGTAAACAGTAATAAGTGAATACAGCATGTTGCTCCTTTTCAGCAACAGGTTGCTTTACTTGCAACAGTTCAAAAGCATATCTTACATTTATATTCCAGAATATATCCAGTGTCCTTTCTCTCACAGAATCTATTTTAGTCTTTGAACCAGAATACAATCCATTTAACTGTAGTCCATTCAGCTTGTCAGATATCAAACAGAGCTAATGAACCATGCTCGTTTAGCAGCAAACTTATAAAAACGAATCATTATGTTCTGAGGGAACATAACTGTTGGTTTTGAGAGGCTATGCAACCCCACTAATCTGGAAAATGAATACAGCATGTTCCTTTTCAGGCTTTATGAGTTAGAATGGTGAGCATACCCTCAAACTCTGTCCCCAGCCTGACTCCTGCCACAATGTAGTAATGCACATATGTTCTTTAATTACTGTTTGGCAAATTATTATTATTCAAATTTCAAGGTGCTAAGTATTAAACTGACTGAGGGTGCAGTTCTTTTGCACCCTCACAGAAGTGGGCCTGCAGTTAGGTTGGCCTCAATAGAGGTACTATCCTAATATTTCCTAAAATGTGAAATGACGGCTGGAGTTGGGAATAGTAGCTGATCTATCATTGCCGAGGCAAGTGAAATCCATGAGTGAATGTTTGATGAGGCACTTTACAGCCCTGCAGGAGTCTCCTCTGCCTGACTGCTGCTGTGAAAATCCTGACAGGACCTGCAGGTCAAAAAGGTCTGAGAAGTCTTCTGCCTTCTGGTGCAAAACAAATACTGTGTTTATGCTGTTATGCAGCCTAGTGTTTTTTTTCTTGTAGCATTTGCCATATAATGAGTTCTAGAAAGTTAATATAAGCACAACAAAGTCTTTAAAAGTAATTTCCGTTACCCTACTGTGACTGACAGCTCACTTGATTCTGCATTGTTCTAATGAGGTGAAGCCACACCAGTCTGGTACACCAAGCTGGGCAAAAGAAACTGTAATGAAGTATTTGCAAACAGTGTTTGATGACAGCATGGTGAGTGTGTGTATGTGTGCATGTTGTGGGTGGGGTGGGAGGTAATACACGCAATTACTGTACCTATGTGTGCATACAGAAAGCACAGCCTGTCAACATACAGTCATTTTCTTCTATTATGTTGTGCTGCTTGTCTATTCCTGGTAGTCATTCATTCTCTGTGGGTGGCTGCGTGAGCTGCTTAGTAACTCACTCTGCGTGAAGCGTGGAGGGTTGTCGTTGACGTCAGTGAGCCTGACAGTGACGGTGGTGGTCCCAGATAATCCGCCCAAGTGGCCTCCCATGTCCTTGGCCTGAAGCAGCACCAGGTACTGGTCCTGGGTCTCCCTGTCCATGTCAGGCACAGCCGTGCGCAGAATACCTAGGGAACAAAAACACACACGTTAGCATCAGGGTGCCCATGAAACATCTAAAACAGGAAAAAAGAAGGTTTTTACAGTGGTGAAACAGCATCAAATGACCGCATGAGACTAAAAGGGTTTTTTGATCAATATTTATGACTCAATGATTACCAGGCACTGATCTGTCTGGCTTCCAAAACACAGTTTCTGGCCTGTGCTCTGTTTTGGAACAAAAGCTGCACATTGGGATCTCATCCAGCTCTAATCACATCTTTAACTACAGTGTATCCTCTACAGTTAGAAGAGTGGTATCACAACACCTTCTGTGACATCATGATATCTCCTCACCAAGCATTTGTAGGTATCACTTTCTGAAAAGGCAAACTTAATAATAGGTTTACAAAATGTAACTATTGACCGTATTAATGTTTAATAACTCATTTATTAATGCTTTGTGGCTCATTAATATGCCATTTGTAATAATTACTTTTGATCCAGCATGCCTTGCTTTGTCTTTCAATCCAGCTCTTTAATTCATCAGCAATGTAATGTACAATTCATTTGTTAAAAGGAATACTTCACTCCCTAATAGACCATTTGTACATTAATTACTTATCTCGTGTTTTGTTGAATTTGTGAAGAAAAATGTTTTTTTCTTGCATGCCACCAGGGTGAAAAAAGAATCAAACACAGAGAAAATTCTTGATGAATTGAAGTCATACGGGCAAAATTATATCAAAACATCCATTTACAAACTCTTACACAACTTGTGCAGTGTAATCCAAGTCTAATTTATCCAGTCATATGCTGAGTACCTCCCAGACAGACAGCCCTTTCAGACTGGGAGCTGAACCAAAAGTGAAACTTATCTATGCTCTCTTTAAAGCCAGACTCCACTGACAAAAACAGACATTTTACATTGCAGAACATGAGAGCTGCTAGTCTACCGCTGGTTCAATCAGTAGGATAAATGACACTTGGATTATACTGCATGAGTTGTGTGAGAGTTTGTCAAATGGGTGTTTTTTTGACGTTAAACATGGTCATGTATGACTTCAGTTCACTTCAGTTTTCTCTGTTTTTGGGTCCTCGTTGGTTTTCTTTACTTATCCAGCATAACACAGGGTGAGTAATTCATAAACAAACTGTCATTGGAGGGCTGAAATATTCCTTTAACACCTTTTACAAGTGTAGACTTGATGGATTATTGTAATGCAGTGTAAAATGTATTTACCTACATAACTGCAGCCCTGTTGGCTGATTGTTCTGTGACAAACCTCTGACCTTTTTCAAAGACAACTGGATTAACTGTGTTCCAGTAGTAAAACAGCAAATCCAGCTGCCTTTAACTAGATACCCTATGAAATGGTGGACTGAGAATCTTAATAGACTCTGTGACCTTTTATTAATGACTTATTAACATTTGTAACAGCAGATTTGATTGCTTATTATGAACTCAGAAAGTCGTGACCCTTTATTAAAGGCTTCATCAAGACGGCAGTTATACATGTTAGTAAGTCATTAATAAAAGGTCATGGGTTTCTTGCTTTCCAATAAGCCATTTAGCCCGCAGTTACTGTATAAATGTTAATAAGTTGTTATTTCATGGAGGTTGGGCCAGATGCTCCGCAGCTCTTCTCTGCAGAGTAACTGGTAAAACAATTCATCGGAGAGGCCTGGCCGATGATTAAAGCCATACAGAGACGGAGTCAGTTTAACTGCAGCCAAATGGATTTTCCTACAATTAGGCAACACATAAGTTGTACTTATGTCTTTTTAGTGATAGAACTGTAGCGATAAATATGTTATTGGCTTGTTGTGTATATATCAGTATATGTCAGCTGTTAGATATTAAGAGACTGTAGTGCAGACATGCCAAAGATATGTTTGAGACAATTAGCCCCCACTGACAGGTTTATCCTTCAACTGTAAAATGTTCTGCTCAATGCATATCTTTGGAGCAGTTCTTTAAAAAAATAAATAAATGAAGACATCCTGATGAAATATTTATTTATTATTTAAACTCTCAAATATCAATATTGTATCGGCCTCAGAAATCCATTTAAATTCCATTTAAGGAGCAATAATAAATCATTTAGTAGCCATCAGTAAATCCATTACTCACAACTAGCAACCCTTTAAAAAGTATGCCTTATTAGAAAGTGGTGCCAACTTCTATTATGTACTGTGGATTATTCATCCTCATTGTAATAAGAGTGCTGTAATTTTATTCATGCAAACACAAACAGGTCGCTGTAAGCTGTGCCATAAACCTGTCAGTGCTGCAAGCTGGATCATTATCAGTGTTGCTGCTGTGTAAAAAAAAAAAACCAAAAACCAAAACATAGCTTCAGTTGTAGTAATTAAAATGCTTCTACTCTAATTGACTGATCAAGTTCTTCTTCCACCTCTTTAGCTTTTGAAGGCCTTTCAAAACTTATTGGACAATGTCAAACCGCCTTGTCACCATGCTGAAGACATGCTCTCCTTGACAATCTGACAGCTTTTCTGACTTTTTGGAGACACCCAGTTTCTATTTGACAGCGACAATATATGACTTAATGTCCCATTAAAGGCACACAGAGAGACACACACACGTATATAAACACAGCTATGTGGCGAGGCTCATATGGGGATGATAAATCACCAACAGACAGACATGCTGACAGAGCGTAAAATCTCGTTCTGTATCTCACACTCTTTAACAGCACACCAAGACACATCGCTTACACACATTCGACATCGATCACCTCCTCTGTGTAAATGACCTCATTCTGCTACATATGATTGGGTGTTGCACACCGAGTGCTGGCTGCTCTTGCCCAACATCAGCCAAAACACCGGCCTGGATGACTTGGCAGCTCAAGGTGAATCACATTCAACTCGAGCTGTTCTGAATGCTAACGAACGAGCAGGAATATGTCTGGGTTTCTGAGCTGAATTCATAAGCAAACAAACTGAATATATGAGCAAATGCGCTCGCCTCTGAGTGTACATTTTGAATAAGACCTTTGGTGATGGAGCCAACGAGGAATGGGGTGATTGAAAAAGGGAGATAGAGAGCGGGGAGAAGAGAGCCGACACACTCAGAATACTAAAGCGCAGTGTCACGGCTAATATACACTGAGTGGAATTAGGTTTATATTCCCCAATTAGCATTTCAAAAAGCGCCGCAGCTCTCTTCGCTTGTTGCAGAGGTCCTCACATGTCAAAGCAATCAATTACTAAACATTGACATTCAATGAGCAAAACACAAGTATCGGCCACCTGTGACCCGTGTGGGCAAAACAAACGCTTACATGCAGGCACATACTCCCACATGCAGACACATACTCCCACATGCAGACAAAACGTCAGCAGCCCCAGCGTGAGCTAAATGCTAAGTGTTTATATGTGTGCTGTCAATCATAACAACATCTAAAGCATCAGACAGTTAGAGCTCCATTTCTGAGTCAACCAAGCAATGATTTCCCTCTAAGGTACGATGCTAAAAAAAGTAATCATAATAAAATAAAATAAATAAATAAAGCACACTCCGCCGAACAAAAAAACTTTTTGCCCTTGGGTGACATCTGAGACACCGAGGCATATCGAGAACACACACGGAAGACGGGTCCTTTGAGCCCCCCTATAATGTGTCCTATGTAATAGTTCACAAACCTTTGCTGACATCTCTCTTTGAACAAGTCTTTTTGTTTTTGCTTCATCCAGAAATAATAACATTAGGCTGCCGCTGTGTTTTGTTCGGCGCACACAGGCCCTGGCAGCATGAATACATTTCTGCCAACTCATACTGGAGCGAACCAGGGAGGGGGGAACACTGGGAGAGGGGGTGATACGTACATGTGTGAGAGTTTGAGTGGAGGGTGTTTGAGGCGGAGGGAAAAGGGAAGTGGGAAAGATGGATGACTAAGTGTGACAAGAGAACGAGGGATGCACGAGGGGGAAAAGTGTTAGTTTGAGTGTGTGTGCTTGTGTGTGTGGGCACGAACGTGTGTGAGTAACCAAGTGAAAGATAGCAGAGACGTGTTCCTCTGTTTATGCATGCAGCTCCACGCATTCTCGGATGCTCAGATCCACCTGTGTTTGCACGCTCACGCGCAGCTGAATGGACGTGCGTGTGTGTTATCATGTCCGTCCGTGTGCATGTGTTCACGACTCAGGCCTGACTTCACTTGTTTGCTCATACTGTATGTGTGTTTGCACTTCAACATCTTGAGTATATTTGCTTTCCTGCAGCGTGTGTGTATTTGCTTTCTGACATCTGCGCATCTTTTACATTTCTCTGCCCGTGTGTGCTACGATAGGGACATACACACACACACACACACACAAATAGATATATAAACACACTCACCTGTCTGGGGATCGACAGAGAAGTACTGTTGGCCCTGCACCAGTGTGTACACTAGCTTGGCGCTGTTCCCATAAGTCGGGTCATCAGCATCTGTCGCTGTCACCTGGATTATAGACGTGCCTGCAGGGAGGAGAGACAAGGAAGGGAGGGAGGATAAAAAAGAAAGAGAGGATAATGTGGTGGGAAAAGGAAAGAAAGGAAGCAAAGAAGAAAGAGAGGGAAGGAGGAGAGGGAAAAGAGAAGGACAGAGTCAAAACATGACGGAGCTGGAGCTAAGTGGACAGACTACAGCAGCACTTTAAGAGCATAAGAAAGCTTTATATCAAGACAACCTCCACTCTCCTCTCTCACTCCTTCTTTTTCAATCTCTTTCCGACGGCAGTGTGACAAATACTTTATTCGCCCCCCCGTGCGTTCCCTCTCCCTCCTCCATCCTGCCCCCCGCCCCCCCCCTCGATTCCCTCTGTCTCACTTCATTTCTCTTCATCTCCGTCTCCAATTCCCTTTAGCTCCTTCTCTCAATCGGACCGTCTGTCTCTTCAACGGCCTCCTTCTACCTGTCACTCCCTTAAATCTTCTTTCTACGGCTCATGGAGTGTCAATTTGGCAGGAAATTTATTTTCGAAATTGTTGGCAAAAAAAAATGGAAATTCACAAAATACAGTAAACACATTTCGTATGTAGCGTATTCATATATATCTATATTTATACAAGTGCAGGGAGAGCGATTTTTCCCTGCGGGACCCGAGCCAGACAAGATAGGAGGAAGATGGGGATTTGTGGGAACAGCTGCTACTTTATTTCTGATCAAAGCCATGACAGTAGCACTATAGGGAAAATAGGTGGAGTGTGTGTGGTGTGTGGGGAAAGTGGGAAGCAGGGCATGAGGTCATCTGGTTGGTGATCCATTGTAGGTAGTTAAGAATCAGAGGGGTTATTGACAGATGGTAGATGTAAAATCTGGAACAATTGCACCAGAGAACATTTTAGAGGGAGGAGAGACTGTGTGTGTGTGTGTGTGTGTGTGTGTGTGTGTGTGTGTGTGTGTGTGTGCATGTGCGTGTGTTGTGTGTGTGTGTGTGTGTTTAAACATTTACAAAAATAAAGGACAATTGTGGTTTTTTACAACTTGGCTCTTATTTTTGTGGCTTTATCCATCAGTGGTGGAAAGCAACTAAGTAGTTACACTCTCTGGTTTAGTACTTTTACTTTTGTAAGTACATTTGCTGGTAAAACTTTTGCACTTATATTTGAGTAAGCTCTTGAAAGCAGGATGGAGTATTCTTCTAGTTGTATACAGTGGCACCCACCAGACCTGAGGTGGGCCGAGGGGACCATGGCCCCTCTGATTCAATTGCGGGCCCTCCACTGCCCCCCCTGGCGAAAATAGCTGGAGGTGGTTATGACTTTAAGAGGCTGTGGTGAACTCATTTTTAAGCTAGCACAAAGGTAATGATATCTTTTGAAGCTAGTCACCCAAGGACACCCAATGGTACCAACCATGTTGGCATAGCTTTTCAGTTGGTTTTGGTGTGCCACCCCAAGATTTTCAATGGCCCCTATTGGCCACCCCAATGAAACATTTCTCAGGGCTCCACCACTGTTGGCCATATCTTTTTTGGTTATAATAATATACTGTATTTGCCAAAGTAATGTCAGACATCTGAGCATAGCAACAACATTTTATGGTCCTGGGGTCTGCTTGTAGTCTGTTTCCTTTTTTTTTTTTTTTTTTTTTTTTTTGAAAGTTCACCCTCCTCATATATCATGTTTTGTTTGCCTTTGTTTCTTTGCCACCTGTTTTCTATCACACCTGTGTATTATTACTTAATTAGTCCCTTGTGTATTGACTCGGTACACTTGCCCTCTTTCAGTTGTCAGGTCATCTGCGCTTGTTGTGCGTGTCCCTTGTTGGTGTTCCTGCCTGTGTTCCCAGTACCATACCAGTTCGTTCTTAGTGTAGTTTTCATATTTCTCCTTTGTATTTGGTTTTGTCTCAGCCCACTTCCTCAGTTTCTGTTGCCTGTCTGTTTGTTTAAGGCAAGAAACACAAGCAGTCAGATGCTCATGATGTTCTAAAGAAGACAGATGACAATCATCAAAACCACTATGTTTGCAGGTGAAATCAACACAAGCTTTCATATAGTCTTAATGTTGGAAACAAACCTTAAACCTAAATTTCTTGTTTACTTACTGCAAAAAAAAAACTGTATACTATACTATGACAATTAATACAGAGTACATTTTATATACACATTAGTATGTGAAACTGAGCCACAGTGAGAGACAGTGAGACCAGGTAAAGTTAAGCAGTGTGGACACCTCTTTTTTTCTTACCTGTGTTTTCAGATGTTTGGCCATTATTTTTAATCCATGCTCAGTTTTGATTTCTTTCTCCATTTCACACATTTTCCAGCCAGTTAGGGAAAAAAACTATTACAGCACTATCTGCACTTTCTGTTTTTATTTCAAAGCACTCCTTCACCATACCAGCTTCGCTCACAGACTGACTACAAAGTGCCTGCTATTGAATCCCTTTATGTTTCAGGATTTTTTTCACTATAGATATTGTAGATAAGTGCAGGGGGCCATAAGTAGATAAGTAGACAGAAATGTTTCTTTTGACAGCGGTAAAAACTAATCAGACTCAGGGATCAAACAGTTTGCCTCTGAGGTTGATGCAACAAGTGCAAGGCGGAGGCAAAGCTATTGGTATGCAGCCTGCCAGCCGTGCTATACAGTCAGTCACACTCCACAAGGATCAAATATTCACACCGCCGTGCATCCATCTGGAACGCATGTTCTTACCATAAGACATCTGTCCTCTCGGGAAAAGGAATAGGATTCATTCTGTAGTTTATGTAT